TCGTCCCTCGTTACGAGTACGAGTCCACGTCAAGAAGGCTCGTGCACCCCTGCATTACCTGGCTTTGCACCTCTGCGCGCACGGTGCGCTGAAGCTCTTTGCTACCCTGGAGCGCTCTGACCACCTGCGCAGTGCTTTGGTGGCTTGCTTTGTGCTTAGGTGCATACCTGGTGTCCGGATGAGTGTCGCGGATGACTGCAACGACAGGAAGATGCCTGGGGCCATTTCTCCATGAGCTGGGATGCACCTGCGGCTGAGGACGGGCACTTCTGGCTGTGTTGCTCGCGTCAACCCTCCTACAAACCACAAAGTCAATCTGAGTCCCAACCTTCTCCCCTACAAAGGTGGCCGGAGAGCTGCGCGCCTGCCAAGTGTTCAGCGCTGTGAGGAGAGTTACCGGCCTTCTGCGTTGTGGGTGGGCAGCGCACACCTGGCTGGTGTGCAAATGCGCCGCTTTCACAGCAGCATATTGGGACGCGGCAGAAAGGGCTTGCTGCCCAGCCTGCGCAAGGGACTCCTGCCGCTGTGGGGCCGTGACGGCCAGGTCAAGTGCAGCAGGGCCCCCAGACAGGGAGGGCAGGAAGATGTCTGCCGGCCGTCGTGCTTCATCCGGTCACTGTGGCAGCAAGAGGCCGGGTTTCTCAACCTCTGCTTGGAGGCCGGCGCGGTCGGCCCAGGAAGCCAGAAGGTCGCGCAGCGCGTTGTGCCGCTGAGTGCGCTCCCCACCAGCAGCACAGGTGCTTGCATGTAAGGAGAACTTGTCCAAGACCCCGTCACATTTGGGGCACGACGTGTCGGCCGGGGCGTCCGCCACCCGAAGCTCCATCACAAACGCAGCGCTCTCCATGCGAGTACGCCCAGTCGGGATGGCGGCAAGCCACGCACGCGATCACGACCACCACCCACGCAACACACAGCACAGGAGGCGTCCAGCGCCGCATTGGGACCAGGCACTGCTCGACCGCCTTGAAAGAGCCGCTCGCCTCAGAGGACAGCGCCATCTTTCGCTCTCGCCAGATCACAGCAAGCGGCGCCCTGGGGCACACACCTCATCACTCCAAGACAGATAGAGTACAAGTCACAGCTGCAGCCGCGCCAGATGAGTTCCCGCAAGGCCAGTGCACTACTATGCCCATAGGCCCCCACCAAGAGGTGCAACAGTCTTCCACAATTTCACAATTGAGCAAGCTAGCACCACACATGCAGACACGACCCATTCCACCAGACCCGCAGCAGTCACCGCCAGGCAATGCGCCACCAAACTCGCAGCAGTGTGCAGAAGCCCTGTCCATCACATGCGCGCATTGTGACACACCGGCGGCAGAGCAAGGGGCGATCACTATAGCACACCCAGACGACACGGAGGAGGACACGCCACTGGCTCCGGCAGAAGACACAGCCATGATCCAGCCATCGACAACAACCGCCTGGCACGTCACCACTAAAACCACGATCGCCACGCCAACACAAGCCCCGGCATCGGCAGCCCAGACAACCGATGAAGATCACACTGCAAACCAAGCAGCGACAGCAGATCAACTATCACCAGCAACAGTGACAACCCAATCCACAACGATCACGATTACAAGCACCGGCAACCAACGAATGACCACAGCACTAATTACGCCGCTACCAATAGCACAGCATCCAGCAGCCACCAAGTTGCCAATAATGAAATCACCGTGGGCAATCAACACCCAAGCCACATCATGCAACAGCTATGCTCCCAAAAGCCGATCACAGCGCTACAGCACAGCCTGCCCGTCCTGAGGGACATCCTCAGTCACCACCGACAAGGTCACCAACCAATGAGACCACCACCGACCCCAGTAGAGGAGCTACAATTGGCAACAGAAATGGCCGCCACGCTGATTCACACTCAGTCACCCCATTGCCAGCAGCCACTACTCCTTGCCAACACACGCACACCCACACCACAACGACGTCATCACAATAGACAACAGACTTGCAAAACTCCACCCACCAGGAACAAGCACGACCAACCACAAACACTACCCCACTACACGACGCGCAACCGCACAGCATAGCCAGCCGCAGCCCAGACAAAGCACGCAGCCGCTCACCAGCAATAAACAGACTCCAACAAACCACAGAAAACCCACACATCATGAGCCAACCGTCACTGGGCTGACGCAACTCGAGAGCTCGCAAGACAGAGTCCAAGATGAAGCAGGGCACGAGCCAGCTGAAGAAGGACTGAGTGCCGCTGCTCTCTCTCTCTCTCTCTCTCGGCTTTGCTTTGCTCTCTCTCTCTCTCTCGCTGTCCCTGTCTCGTTTTGTCGGTGGCCTGTCCCTGGCCCATGGCCACGTTGTGGTAATTCACGTTGGCTTGCAAGCCGATCAGCACCTTCCCCAAAGCCTCGACCTGCCAATCAGTGTCGAAGCACAGCAAAGAATCTCACGGCTCTTCCCCTACTCTTCTCTTCAAGGCCTCTTTGACAGGGTCCGCACCCGGCGAGAGAATGAAGAAGAAGGGAGTGTTGCTGGTGGAATCCTGATGGACTGTGTATCAAACAAGCTCATGCCAAAGGCACCAAAGGCAGGCTGTATCTGGAGAATCTACAGGTCAGACTCTGCAAAGCGCAAGGTTTTCTAACTAGCACCCAGCTGGCAGCTGCCCCATACTCATGTGGAGATTGGACTACCCCGCTTCTTCGCCTCGTAAGCCGAGTGTAGGACCTCCAAACGGTGCAACAGCGGCTTAAGTCAAAAGACACCTTGGCCTCGCCTTGTAGAAAGAAAGCGAAGCATCGCAGTCAATGTAATCTTTGCCGCTTGGGAGACTCTGCCTGCAAATTGCAAAGTTCGTAAGATGATGGTCCGTAAGTTGAAAGGCAGGAAAGGCAGAGTCTCCTGACCCACTTGGCCAAAGCGATGGACATCCGGTCAGGCCGCAGACATCGAATAACCAGCCTCAGACTCAAAAGTTCCTTTGGCCAACTCTTTGGCTTAGCTCCACTCCATTCCGCTCTCCTGAGCCATGAGCAACTTCCTGAGAGCCCCGGCGGATGCGAATTTGACAGGCATACTCGGGACTTTTGGAACTACACAGCGCTGAGGAGCTCACCGGAAGTACTTCGCATCCAAGGTCTTCCAGTCCAGTGGCAGCTTGGCATCCTGAGAAGCTGGAAAAGATTGTGAAAGCTGCTTTGCAAGCTGCCTTGCTGAGAGTGAGCTGTCTAAGAATGAGCTGCGAGAGCTCCTCTGGAGCCGGCTCCGCCATCCAGTCCCGGAAGCCTCAGAGTCCACAAATTTGGATTTTCTGAAAAAAACGAGGAAGTTTTCTCAAGGGCCGGTCGGTTCGGAGCGTCGCGCTCCATATTCTGCCTCAGCATGCCAGCTTTTGGGGTGGTTGCGATTTTGACGTTCACTGTGTGCACCGGGCGCAAAGTTTTCAAAGCCCTCCAATTCCACAAGCTTCAGTACCATGGCCTCACAGGTGCAAAGCAAGCACACAACAGTCCAGGGTAGCCTAGCATGGCTGTTCATCCTCTTGGGTTCTGACCCAGCTCTTGTCCAGGAGCCAGTCTGAGAGAGGATTCTCATTTACGATTGGCACTGAAGGTGCCCGGAGCAGGAATGAGAAGTGGCTCGGGACAAAGTCCTGCTCAAAGCTTGTTCTAGCATGAGCCGCACACCGAGCAGCACCGGCAACCTCTTGAAGCTGCCGCAAGGTCAGCAGTCGAAAGGCCAGCATGGTACAGAAGATGAGCCTGAACGCAACGTATCGCAACATCTAACAGAATGCCTTGCCAGCTTGCGGCAGTATTGCGGCAGCATGGGGGACTCTCTGCGCCAATCTCCTTGGAATCAGGCTTGTGATCCTCGAAAAGGCCACGGTTGACCTGTGGAGAGGTTCAACTGTCCAAGCACAGCGGAAGTCTTGACTTGGTGCAGGGCCCAACGGAAAACGGTAAGCCGAGCCGAAGCAATGAGCAATTCTGTGCGCTCATGGATGTCCTCCGCCCCCTGAGAACGCAGCGACGACTTCACACAAATTGTAGCGAGCTGTGGATACCACTTGCCTGTCGTGGTAGGACGGCTTTGACTACAGAAGCAAAACCGCTGATCGGATCTTGGTTGACGGTACATGCTCACTTAAGCTGATGCTGGTGCTGGTGCGTCTGCTGGCAGCGGCGGCAATGGCTGGCTTGAAGTGCGAATGCAACCGCGGAACGGCTGCCACTTTTCATGCCAGAGATTTTTGGGGGTTGCCGTGGTGAAGGAGGTGCTTGGGTGGGGTGGGCAGGTCAAATTTCATCGAAAGCTAATTTCAGTCCGCTACCATGACGGATACATGAGGCGGACTTTGAAAAATCTACGACGCATTGTCCGCAACAAACCGCACCTTCTTTCGCAAACACAAAAACTGTGTGAAATCATGTTGAGAACCACAAGATAAGGCACAAAATCGCACATGGACATCTGCTACCACAAATAAACTACCTATTTCGAACCACCCCACCCTTGCCTTTTTGTGGTTGCGGGGAATTAGTAACCATATGGAGCATGTATCAATGTAAGTCTAGCAGACGCTCCAAGCACTACCGTTGGGGTGGAAAGGTGGTTTGTGAGGCTAGCATTTTTCATGGTTGTGCTTTGAAGTTGGGCACTCCAGAAATACCTTGGAGTTGGCGACTGCAAGGAAAGATTGGGCCACTGCAGGAAACCTCTGGGGCAATCAGTTTGGGTTGGGTAAAGTACTCTGAAGTTGAGCCCGAATCTGCGATTGGGCGCTGCAGGCAGGGAGACCTTGTTGTTGGGCGCGGCTGGAAAATCTGGAGTAGAGCAAATGTGACTCTGTTTTCGGGTTTGGCATCGAAAGTGTTCAGCAGGGGCACTCTGAGTGCAGGCAAGGCAGGGATATGCAGGGATATTCTGCGGCGGGCCACTTCAGAAAAAGTTTGAAGTGGAGCACTGCTGCAAAGAAGTTCTGGGTTTGTGAAAGGTGACTGGTCAATAATGTAGCCAATACACTCCAGCAAAAACCCTTGCTTGCACTTCTCACTTTTTGGCTCGAAAGTCTCAAAGCTCCGTGTTGTCGATAGTGCAGGTCAATTGTAAATGGGTAACCTATAACTTCCCACTGCTTAATTGCTAAAAGGGGGGCTTGAGCCAAATAACAATCGACCATACACATATCGTTGAAACACTACCTCAGTTGCACGCCTGTGTGAAAGGGTATATGCGTAGAGCTTTACACTCCCCACGGCGATAAGCAACTAGCTGCGTGAGACGCACACAGGAGCTCTTTGAGACAACAACGGCAGGCAGACCCTGGACCGTGCATTGTGGGACATATGCACATCTCTCTCATTCGTGAACGCAAAAGCAATTCCATTGCGCGCCAAAATGGCGATTGGAAAGGAGAGATAGCATCGTCTTGAATACATTAATCATCCATCGCATTGAGGTCCAAGAAGGGATTGTAATAAATGTCGTTGTCTTGACCGTCTTTGATCTGGCTGAGGCCACTACCAAACATGGATGCGCGGGCCGTTTCGTTCCACTATTTGACAGGAGCATGCGAACTCGGGTGCTGATGAGGTTGCGCTGCCCCTCTCCTTGACTGGGGCGGACTTTTCTGTATCCATCGGAATTCACAGCAATGAGTGGAGAAAGGAACTCGTTAACCTTCATGGTGGTGCAAGCCCAAAGATAGATGTCGCGAATGTGCCCATGGACGCGAAGTTCTCGCATATCAACAAAGAGTTGTAGCGAGGTTCGAACTTGTCCTTGCGCATCCACTCATCACTCATCACGATCAGCCTGGCATCTTTTCCGGCCGTCTCCGCGGACCCACTGGAAATACTCATCCTTGTTTGGGAGCCTGGGAGCCTGGATTCCTCATCGATCAGGATGGGACAAAGGAACTGTCTGCTCGTGAAAGGCGTTCTGCTATCATCCATCTTTTCTTTCATCTCTTTGAAGCTCAATGCCACGTAGTCATCGAGGAGGTCCCTGCGCTGGAAGATGAGATAGGCAAATATTTCATCGAACACCTTTGCCACCTCTTCGGTGTTCAGGCATAGAGCCAGTGGCCGAGTAGCCTTGTTGCTCGATACTGTGAGGTATTCGTTTGCGCAATCACCCAGCTCGCCGTACTGATCAACCTCCGCAGGTATCTTTTCGATCTTCTCGAGGTCGACGCCAGCAGCCTGCTCCTCCACTGATTTCAATTCATCATCTTCTTGTTCTTCGATTTGGTTTTCCTGTTGGGCGATTTGATCATCGATGGCTTCGAGGGTATAGTCCTCAGCCCGCGCTGCCAGCAGGTGCTTCGCAAGGGCCCGGGGTGTTTGGGCACTCAGTAGGAATCTCGAATCCTGGTTCCTCGATGTGGTTTGGCGCCGAAGGGCTGCAGAGCAGGTTGCTTCCTGTGTTAGTCAGGTTCCAGGCTTGCAGCAGGCGCCACATTGTTTCAGTATGTAAACGGAATGTCGACGTCTGCACGGAATTTCTCAACAATTTTACCAAGGAACTGGCGCATTGCCTGCATGTAATCCTCGCCTTCCTGATTTTTGCACACAAATTCATCAACAAGGGATGGGGAATGAATCCTCGCGCCCATGCCTTTCGACCCCGCAAGAAGAAAGATGGCTTGTATCTCGGAGAAAGGAATCTTGCATCGGCACAATTGCCTGCTTTGCGATATACGCAGTTATAATTACGAATTACTTTGGCTCAGTTACGCGGGAATATCTTCTACTCAGGCATGCCTGCGCGAAGCTCAGCATTCCTCAGCCTCGAAAGCTTGCATGGATTTCAATTCGTGCTTGGCTTTCACGAACACTCTAGACTCTATACCCACCTTGCTTCACTCCTGGAGCTGCAAAACAGTAGCCGACTGATCAGGCGCTAGCTTTTTCGGGAAGCAGCTGGGACAGCATCCAACCTTCTCCCTGCATTTTGAGCATCCGTCTGGGCGACTCAACTTTGTGTCCTGAGAAGTCATAGCTACGTAGTCTTCGAAATACACCTTGGAGGCTGGCCTCTTGGCTGCAGGCTTCTTCTTGACAATTTTGCTAGCAGTTCCTGCTGCAAGCAACCGACTCAGTTCCTTCCTCTTCTTCGTCTTCTGCGCCAGTATCCTCTTCTTGTAACCCAAGCTCTTGGTCAGAGCCACTGCCCACTAAGTCCTCCCCGGTTAAATCCTTCGGCCAACCATCCGAATCCAAAGTAACCTCAGGCACATTGGGCTGGAGAACTTGACCAGACCGCATCGCGCAGGGGCCACGCCTTGGCAACTGAACCATGGCAAGCAGGCTGCCCAGGCTGTTCTGGTTGAGATGCCTTGTGGCCTCCTGGCACTTTTTGGGGGCCATCTTGAGTCGTCTCAGATGGTTCAAGATGGCACAGTCACTCACACAGCCACCCTGCGTAGCGCTGCATACTCATTCCTCCACAAACCTTCGAACGCTTCAAGCACAGCCGCTCAATCACGTCGCGAAGGAACTTGATGTGAATCTCTGCAGGAGCGCATGCCGCGAGAGTGGGCACCAAGAGGCCTCTCGCAGCAAGAACCCCTGGACCGCCTGAGCTGGTGGTTGGCCAGATCCAGCAAATTTCTGTGCCTTGTTTTCCACGTACTCCTGCAAGCCACTCTTGAGCTTCTCCTTATCATCAGGAGCAATGCACTGCCTTTTGGGGGCAGGCTCTTCTTCGGCATGGCTTAGCAAGGTGTCTACAAAAACTTGGAGGTTTGAGCACCTGAGCAGCTGGAGTCCTGCAGGCGCAGCTTCTTGCAACAGTTCCTTCCGAATCTTAGGGCCTGGCAATTGCGCACTCTGGGCCATGGGGTCCTGGGAGAAGCAGGGAAGCAGTTCAAACCTCCTGGGCCAGTTGCTGCAGCTGCTGGCCATTGCTGCCACCATGTTCTAACCCCTAAACCCTAAACCCTCAATGATCAACTATGAAACCTGCTAAACCCACGCAGTACAAAAATCATGACCTTTCCCTTGCCATGTTCTGTTGTTCTCGGGCGGAAGCGTTTTTTCCCTAGGTCCGGCTGTATTGCTTGGTATAAAAAAACCCGGGACCCACTTTTGCTCGACTCAACAAAAAAACAAGCAGTTCTAAACATTTTGATCTCTAGCCACCAGCATCAAGGTTCTTAGCAAGCAAGTCGAACAATCACAAGTCC